TGCTTGCTTCAGTGCCTGGCTGCCGGCCGCCATCTTGGCTGACAGTTAATTTGCATATACTCACTGATTAGCCAATGAAAAGGGTAGCGGTCGTACACCAATTACCATGTTTCTCTTTTATTAGTGTAGATAAGTGTTATTTGCCCCATCTTGTACTTAACAAAATGTTAAGCATCTGCAAATACATTTTCCTCAAGCAGGATACAGGGACCATTTGGAAAACTAAAAATGGAACCATACAGAGCAGAAGGAAAGTGGCTCTAATGGGGAAAATGATTTATATTAAAGCAATGTTTCCCAAAGCACAATCTCCAGAACACTCTTTCCCCGGGATGTTAACGGGTCTTAATAAGGGTTTCATGGCAAATAGTTTTGAGAAATCCGGGCTTCAACAAAGATAAACTGATTTTTTAAACTATTGTACTCCTCCAAATCCTTAGTGTGCTCTTAAAATACCACAGTACGGTGCGACAATAGACTTTGAACTGTAGCATTTCTCAACTTGTTTAACACAATGACTATTTTTCTCCATCTGTATCTCATACACCTGGTTTGTGAATCATCCTTTGGGCATATGCACTGGATTAGAATTTCATCCACCTTTCATCAAAGGTGGGGAACAGATAGGAAAGTGTGCCAAAGGAAGAAAGAAAAGAGTAAATTTGATGCAAGCAGCAAATAGGGTGGCTGTATGGAAGTTTGAGGTGAGTGTCACAACTCTCTTCTTATGCAAAACACTAGTAATGCCACATATTAAAGCCTCAACCCGTGGCTGTCCTACAGTGGGGTCGGAGGGATGGGCCCTGCCGACCACATCACTAGTCCACAACCTCACTGCAAGACTTCTCCCACAACGCAGTGATGGCGCTTCTGAGAATGAGAAACAGGACTCCAAAAAGTACAGGTTTTGGACGTTTATTAAGACTTTTCCTTGTACACAACCTGTACTAAATCGCATGGGTGTTGAGGCTTCTTATAATGAACAGAATCACAGATACACAGGAAAACCTGAAGGAGGTTGGAGGAAGCCTGCATTTAGTAGAAACTGTGGGGTAAAGATGAATTCTGTAACTCACAGTTAGATAAACTCCTCCCCAATGGAGTGTTAGAGAAAAGTGGGGATCCACAGAGTGGTTTGTCTAGGATAATGGCATGGGGTAATAACTCTAACTCACATCACAATATAGGAGGGCTGTTTTCCATGGACCCTGGCTACACTGGGCATAATACTTGCAGATATGGGGGACTGGTGGCATCAGTGGGCCTGGATTTATGTGTAATTCTAGTCTTTCTTGCTTGGGACACAGCATTTTGTGAGGAAAAAACCCGAATATTTTTCAGCCCCAGGATTGTGGTTTTCAGTCTCTTAGCATATGGGAGTGGAGGGAGGGACAAGCTTTATCCCAGAAGCAGCTCTTGGTTTTCAATGGATGTCCTATTTTCTTCCTAAGGCTTTCCAGCTGCATTGACTTCAGGCATGAGGAGGTCAAGTGATTCACTCAAGCACCCAGTGAAACAGACCAGCTGGGACTTGAACTTGGGGACTTTGCCGGCGCATATTCCTTGCCCTAGTCAGTCAAGCGCTCTGCTTCCTGGTTCAGCTGCCTCCGTGTTTGCACCACGCAGCTCGCAAGCTGTGTCTGCCGCAGCCTGTCCTCCGGCTGTCTCCGCTCAGGACTGGAATCAGAAGCGTGTTACAGGTCAAGTCTGAACGTTCTGGCAGCGCATGCGAGGCAGATTGCTCCATGCCTGCTCAAAGCATACAGTGTCTGGCGAGAGCCAGATTGAAGATAGCTAAATTCACATGCCAAGATTCCAAAAGGAAAAACTTAGCTCACATTTTTCCCTTGCACGGGGATTTTTCTTCCCCTCCGTTCTCCCCTTTTCTTTTTTTTCTTTCTGAAAAGGGAATCCCCATGTTTACACATTGAAATCCAAAATGCACAAGTGATCAGTTCACAGCTCTGTGACCCATGAACATCTGTGGCCTGGGTGTTCCTGGGAATCAGCAGTGCTGGGAGCCGGGAGTCAAGCCCGCCCACCCTCTGCAGAAAGGAATTCTCAAGTGAGTGAAACTGTCCGTGAGCGGGGAGCCCTCGGGCCCAGTGCTCCTAGTTCTGCTTTTCCAGGGGCATGTCTGCACTCGACTTCACCTGGTTTATGAGCTGTATATGACTTTCTTTTTTTGGGATGGGGCCATCTGAAATGCCTCACAGGAAGTAGGACATGAATCTTCATTTTGCCTTTAAGAAAAATAAAACTCTACAATCTGAGATGGGTAAACTCGGTGTGATCTGTTTATCCAGAAACAAGAACCTCTCTGTGTCCTTTCAGGAGAGAGAAAAATCTAGAGATAAACATATTTACTTTGACATCTCTCTCTGAGGACTTATGCAACTGAAACCAATAGGGCCTCCTGTGGGGAAGGGGACCCCACAGCCACCAGCCTGAGGAGAGCCACATGGGGAGGGGGCTCCAGTGTGGCAGGTGACACTGGGTGTGGCTGACTGTGCCTCCTCGACACTGTAGGTTCTAGGACAGTAGATGGACCCTGACTATATCAACATCTTAAAGTTTTAATTTGGTAGATACTCAAAAGTTAATCAAACCCTCAATGGAAAAAAAGTGTGTGATGAATTTGCATCTCCCATCTGGACCTTGATCCCCTCTTCTGGAACTGAGGGAATGGACTAGCTAACTGCTGAGCCCCACAGCAGCTGTAAGGGTCTGTGATTTCAGGCTGGCTTTTCTCCTACTTGGAGGTTTGTTCCTCTGCTCTAACTTTTCTGCTGTGATCTTGGTGTAATGGGCTGCATTGTGTCCCCACAAAATTCATATGTTGAGGTCCAACCCCCAGAACCTCAGCATGTGGCTGTAATTTAAGATAGGATCTTTTAGAGGTAATCAAGTTAAAATGAGCTCTGTAGTGTGGGCCTTAGTCCAATATGACTGGTGTCCTTATAAAAAGGAAATTTGGCCCAGCCAGAGTGGCTCAGTGATTGAACATTGATCTATGAACCAGGAGGTCACAGTTCCATTCCTGGTCAGGGCATATGCCGGGGTTGTGGGCTCGGTCCCCAACATGGGGCATGCAGGAGGCAGCCAATCAATGATTCTCTCTCATCTTTGATGTCTCTATCTCTCTCTCCCTCTCTCTTCCTCTCCGAAATCAATAAAAATTTTTTTTTAAAAAAGAGGAAATTTGGACACAGATATGAGCATGACAGAGAATAGTCCTTGTGAAGAGAGAGGGAGGAGCCAGCCATGGACAGGCCAAGGCGAAAGGCCTCAGTGGAAACCAGCCTGCTGACACCTTGATCTCAGACTTCGTGCCTCCTGCACCGTGAGAAAATAAATGTTTATTGTTTAAGCCAGTTTATGGAACTTTGTAATGACAGCTCCCGTAAACTAATACACAGGGTCACACCACAATGACTTGTGTGTGAAAGAAGTTCCATGTGTTTTCCTTAACAGACTCTTAATCTTGATTTTAGCTAAAATAGTCTTTGCTTTTGCAGAATGTTCAAAATACTTTTTTTAAAATCGGTTTCTTTGTCATCAGATGTGAAGTAAATCATTTTAGTAAAATGAATCCTCTTTCTTTTTACTTGAAGGGAATTTCACAATTTTGATCCACAGAACAATTTTTCTGAATGGCTGTGGCTCATCATTTTGCCTTTTACAAAATACTGCCAACATCAATAAAATTAATCTAAAGCCAAATAGTTCACTGGATCAACCCACAGATAACAGGACAATTTATAAAGAACTTCAGACCAAACAAGCAACTCCAGAGGGGGTGTAGTCCAGGTTTTGTTTAGTACTTTTGCCTTTCAAGTTCATGCAGAGTTAAACATCACATGACTGGGCTACAGAACAACAAATTGAGTGATAAAGAAAGGTAACCATGCATCATTTTGCGGTTTAAGACTCTCAGAGATTCTTACTTGAAGTAAAGCATGTGATGACCAAAATGGATTTCTCTTTCATTTCGTACCAAGATTTCTATTCTTTTCATCTACAAAGTAGTCACGTGTATTTGGTATGTAGTTGGAATTCAGTATCAGAAAGCACGGGGATTTCTCTCTCTGTAAGCTTCCTTTGATGCAGCAGTGAAATTTCTGAGGGACAGCATTTCTGGATCAAAACAGCTCACTTGGGAGGTGAGGATCACCAGCTTTTGAGGCTCCACACATCTGAGAAAGAGATCAGCAGGTGGCACATCCCTGCTTTCCCAGTCATCGCCAACTTGCTCAGAGGTTGACACCTAACCAACCGGCGGGCACAGCAATCCAGTCAGCAGCTGTTTAGTGATTTATATACACAATGAGATGAATGAAAGACTAGCTTAATTTTTTCAGCCAGTTTTTTTTTTTTGGTGTCATCTAATTGTAAGAATGAGAGTCTACAGATTTTTAAAAATACATCTTTCTAAAATATGACATCTTGAAGAAAAAAGCTTGGCCAATTAAAGAGACTGAGCAACTGCAGGCACTTTTATTCCAGGTATCCACAGAATGGAAAAAATGTCAACTTATTTATATTCATTTATTTACATGGGTAATGAATAACTTAAGGAATACTTCATCTCAAACACAGATTGCTTTTATTTCAGCTCAGCTCATGTTTCAGTCCCATATATATTTTTCAGTTTCCATCAATGTCAAACACCATTTTTTTCATTCTTCTTTAAAAAAAAAAGATTTACAAGCACTTTTACGGCACTCAAGGAAAGTGGGCTGCAGGTTCATAATAATAATTTTCCTTTTAAAAAACATCCATCAGACCAAAATAAAATCATTTTAATTAACTCCTTCCTGAGTAACTAAAACCTTGGAATGTGCTGAAAGGTTATAATAAATAAGGCAGTCAAAGATCAACCAGCTTAAAATGTATTTTTTAAATTAAACTATGTAAAATGTACAATATATTTCATGAAGTACAAACTGTGTTGGGCACAGGGCCAAAGAAATGTTGTCATGTGTGCCAAATATACTGATGAAGTGCTTTGACTTTACGGACCTAAAGGCTGTTTGTTGCGACAAAATAACATTAAGGCCCTGCAAGTCAGTCAGTCAGCATCTTTTGTTGTGATGCTATAATGATCACTGCTGACAAATGCCTTTGAACACACAGGCAGAAGTGGTCCTGTGAACTTGAACTCGGAGATACGTTTGTCAAATGGCCAATTGTCCCACTGTCCTGACGAGAGCAGAGAACTCTCAGCCAACTCAACTGTATTTTCAGAGGGTGAGATGGCACAGTGTGTAAACTAATTATCATTCTCTCTATGCAGTTTCATAGAAATGGCTCACAACGTACCAGGCGGCGTTCTTGTTCTTGTTTTGAGAAGCGTAACTGTTCTTCGGGTTGCTTTTTAAAGTATATCTAATGGCAGGGCTCTGGTCTCTCTAAATGGGACAAAGGATTCTTCCTCTTCACTTAGAATTGACCACAGTTCTACATTCCCCTTAATCACTTCGCTGCCCCAGTTCTCTGAGGCCGAAAGGAGGCCCACGAGTGGCCAAATGCTGGACTTTGTGCCTCTGCGGTCCCAGCCTTCACCGGACTCCTGCGGGTGGGGCCTTCTTAATGCATCTCATGATAAAGTAGCTTTAGTGCACACTTGACAGGTTCCAAATGACTTGCTTTATATCTTGGCAACTGTCCAATTTTAGTGAACAGAAAAAACACACAATTCTATAGAGACTTGTTGGTTTCTGAAAGGTAGAAAATGTGTAGCTTGTGTAAAGTCAGAGTCTTATTTACTATTAACTATTCCCAACTCACACTCTGCTAGTGCTCTTGAAGGGCTGGCTCTAGGGGAGAAAAAGTGAAGGAGATAAAATTTGTGGCCTGTGTCCTGCCCGCCACCACCACCTGCACCCCTGCGTCTCAGCCTAGGAGAACATGGGTTTTTCAGTGGAGGAGGGGCAGTTAAAGACGAAAACATTTCAGAATCTAAGACATAGGCTTCTAATGACTGAACTCAGGCCTCATGGATAGCCGGCAGGTGATGGGAGTGGGATGGGGAGGAGATATTTTGGAGACACGACACTGCCCGACATCTACTCAGATGGCTTGGGGAACAGACACCTACTCATAAAACTGGCCAAGCCGTCTCTTCCCCAAAGCTCTTGCTTCTCCTCTTCTTGCTATCTTAGGAGGGTTCTCAGCAGTGAGCTGCTTCCAGAAGAAATGGGACCATAGTTTCCCTGCCACCAGCACACAACTCAGGACCCCCTTTTACCAAAAACAGGCACCTCTTAAGGGGCTAGAAGGTGAAAGATACCAGCTACTCTGAGACCCCACTGGCCAGGGGTGTGCCTGATAGATGGTGCATTGCCTGTGGTCAGACTTAGAACTTCTACTACAGGTTAAATGTCAGAGCCAAACTGGTTCCTGGGTACGGAGTTAAAACAATGCTGGGGAGAAATCCACTTCATACTGGGTGCAAAGGCAGGGCTGTCCCCTTTTCCTATGCCACACAACCTCCAGGGCTGATTTGTCTTGCCTACACTCCTCCATACCCAGCAGATAAATTCTTTTCCCTGCCATGCTACTTTGAAATCTGTCAGAATGGTGCTTGGACATGGAATGTCTGAATGGAACTTGCCATGCACTTTGACCTTGCAAGATACTCAAGGCTCTGGGCTGGATGGGGGTGTGGCACAAGCTGACTGGCCCCTTCAGAGATAACAAGTGCGCTGCTCTTGATGAAAGTGTCTCCTGAGATGGACCAGAGGCAGAATCCTGCCCATGTGGGTAGAGACCACTAACCCAGGGGCATCCTCTCTTTTGAAGTCCTGATCTGTCCTACCTTCTCCTCTTAGGTCCTTCTGGAGTGGATTCCCTGGTCTCTGAAGTGGTTTTGTATTTCTAGCGACATATACAAGTCTGGATGTTTCCTACCACTGAGGTAATATTTCTACAAGTCATCTTACAAATGATAAGTTATTGGGCTATGGGCTATATTTTCCCCCTTCTCTCATTGAACTGGAGGGAAAAAGCTATTTTATGATGAGATGCCTTGTGATGGAGTCATCTTAGCATAAGAAGGAGGCCAGGAGCCAGAAAAACACAGAATAAAATTAAACAAATAAAACCCGCAAAACCGGGCATCTCCCAATGACCCCCAACCTGTGGGAATGTTTTGTTCTTTTTAATGCAGCCGAGCATTAATTTAGTCCCTTCAAGATTTTTCTTCCCCAAACAACGACAACAAATCTTTCTGGAAAAGAGAGATAAAGCCACTGGAAGCGACACAGGCTGGCAGCATCACCTCTTATAAATATCTTCGAGCCACTTCTCGTCATCCTGTTCCTCGTCGCCAATGGGCTCCTCGGTTTCCAGCGGAGATGGGATGAAGAACTGGGGCCTCAGAGGGGGCTGGCTGACCTGTGACTTCAGTCCGAACTTGCGCTTCAGCAGGTGGAACTGCTCTTTGACGTAGTGGTAGAACTCGTACTCGTACCTCATTCGCTGGTAGAGAATCTGCACGGCCTCGGGGGAGGGGACAGTTTTCCTCACGGTCACAGTCATGTTTCCAAGTTTCCTGTGCTCTGCAAAAGAACCGAGGTGCACATGAGCAATCGTCTGTGATGCTTTAGCTTAAAAGGAATAATGGTGAGGCCTTGTGTGACCTGCATAATCCTGGCAGCTCCGAAAGAAACTCAACAGACAAGGAATAGAAGGGAAATGCGTTTCCAACAATATTTGGAAAGATTTCACCATATTCTAGGTATTAGTATCAACGTTAGTGGACGGAACATAAACTAACATCCTTTTCATGAGCTATGCAATTTGACCACAATTCAATTGTTAACTCAAGTTATACATTCTTTGAACAGCAAAAATCTACCCATTTTTTCATCTTTTATTTCCTGTTATATCTGGGAAGGGTGTTGCTTTCAGAAGGAAGCACAGACAAAAGCTGTCTCCCCACTTTCTAATCATCTTGTTTTTTTATCTTAAAATATTGACAACTATGAGTGATAATTTAATTTGATGCAAACCCACTTGCATTTTACTACTCCAAAGGCATTTGTCAAGAAAAACAAAGGAAAGACTGTTAGATTCCTTAAATGCAATTGTACATTTTCAGTGGTTATTTTTTTATAGTGGTAAAATCTATAACTAAAATTTGTTTAATTTTATATTGATGCTGAATAACATGTTATATATGTGATATATATATATATTTATATATTTATCAAAATTTTAACCATTTTAAAGTGTACATATTGGTGGCATTAATTATATTCAGAATGCTGTGCCACTGTCCCCACTATTGCCACATCCTTTCATCACTCCGCACAGAAACTCTGTACCCATTAAATGTTAACTCCCTATACCCCTCCTCTACCTGCTCCTCATTCTGTCTATGAATCTGCCTATTCTAAATACGCATATAAGTAGAATCATACAATATTTGGCCTTTTGTGTCTGGCTTTTTCACTTAACATAATGTTTTCAAGATTCATCCATGTTGTTGCATGCATCAGTACTCCATTCCTTTTTATGGCTGAACAATATTCCATTGTATGGTTAGTTATGCCACAATTTATTTATCCATTTACCCATTGATGGCTACTTGGGTTTTTTCTACCTTTTCATTATTGTGAAAAGTGGTGCTATGATCATTTGTGTATGAGTATTTGTTTGAGTCCCTATTTTCAGTTCTTTTGGGGATATACCTAGGAGTGGAATTGCTGGCTCATATGGTAATTCTGTTTAACTTTTTGAGGAACTACCAAACTGTTTTTTCTCAGTGGCTGAACTACTCTACATTGTATGAAGATTCCAATTTCTCCAAATCCTCTTCTACAATAGTTAGTTTCCATTTTCTAAAAAAATTATAGCCATCCTAGTAAGGGTGAAGTGGTATCTCATTGTGGTTTTGATTTTTCATTTCACTAATGACTAAAAGTGCAGAACATCTTTTTATGTGCTTATTGGCCATTTATATGTCTTGTTTGGAGAAATGTCCATTCAAGTTCTTTGCCTTTTTTGAACTGGATTATTTAATTTTTTTATTGAGTTATAGGAGTTTTTTTTTTACATATTCTGGACATTCTACATATATATCAGGTATATGATTTGCAAATACTTTCTCTCATTTTGTAGGCTGTCTTTACCCTGTTGACAGTTTTCTTTGATGCACAAAAAATTTTACTTTAATTAAGACCAATTCATTTACTTTTTCTTTTGTTACCTATACTTTGATGTTATATTTAAGAAACCATTGCAAACTCAAGAACGTATAGATTTGCCATATATTTTCTTTTATCATCTTATTTTATTTAAAACTTTTGTCATCAAATTTGATAGGCACATTATTTAGTGATTATGGCTCCAAATGCCTGTTTCCAAAATCAGATTCATGCAACAGGACAAAAATGTCATTTTTTTCTTAATATATTTTATTGATTTTTTACAGAGAGGAAGGGAGAGGGATAGAGAGTTAGAAACATCGATGAGAGAGAAACACTGATCAGCTGCCTCCTGCACACCCCTCACTGGGGATGTGCCCGCAACCAAGGTACATGCCCTTTACCGGAATTGCACCTGGGACCCTTGAGTCCGCAGGCCGACACTCTATCCGCTGAGCCAAACTGGTTAGGGCAAAACTTGTCATTTTTGAGGATATCTGAGATACTTTCTGAAACTTCCAATAGAAGTGCTAAAGAAGGAATTTTAAAAAGTTATCTGAGTAGTAACAGCCTCATTGAAATAAGGACATTGCTTTTCAAATGGAGTCTCTTAAAAGGCATAATACACATTTTCATATATCAGTTCTAGAATTGTTGTTAAAGAACTTAGCATAGTCTTTCCTAAAATAGGTTTGTGAGAGAACATTTTATAATGTCTGTCTTCTCTGCTATAGATATTAACTATAGCTAATCTGAGGCAAGACATGTTCATAGGCTTTAAATATAGACATCCCCTTTGTGTTTTTAAAATCCAGAGTTTAAAAACATTATAGTAAAGACAGACAAGGCACAAAAAGTGTTAAGTTAAACATTGAGAAGCACAAGAAAAATAATATACTCATTTCCATATTTCTACAATCCTTCTTGGAGCACTCTATAAATTGTGTGGGGTTCTTTTTTCTCACATCAGAAAAAATAAAGATTACTGTGATTTTAGAATATATCCCACCAAAATTCAGATGTGCTCAAGTCTCTCCCTTCCTATAAAATAAAAGGCTAATATGCAAATCGACCGAATGGCGGAATGACCGGTTGCTATGATGAGAACTGACCACCAGGGGGCAGACGCTCAATGCAGGAGCTGCTCCCTGTGGTCAGCGCACTCCCACAGGGGGAGCACTGCTCAGCCAGAAGCCGCAGCGGCGGTGACAGGAGCCTCTCCCGCCTCTGCAGCAACGTTAAGGATGTCTGACTGACAGCTTAGGCCCGCTTCCTGGACATCCCCGGAGGGCTCCCAGACTGTGAGAGGGTGCAGGCCAGGCTGAGGGACCCCCTCGAGTGGACGATTTTTGTGCACCGGGCCTCTAGTCTTAAATTAAATCCTGGTCTCCATGTCCCCTTTCTTATTTTATCTTCTTTTTCTTTGCTCCATCACAACCAAACTTCTAAAAGAGTTATCTGAATTTGTTACCATAAAATTTCAACTTAAACACATGACTGAACTCATCAAAACCTGGTTTATGTTCCCTCAATACCTCATGCAAATTACTCTTGCTTCCTTGCTGATAATTCAGTGAGCATTTCTCATGACTTCTATCTCTTCTTAGCATGACATCACAACACTGTTGGCCACAGGCTCCATCTTGAAACTAGCTCTTCTCTGGCATCTGTAATAGCATTTCCCTGGTTGTCCTGGTCTCCTTCTGATTGTCCCCCTTCCGTTCTCTACATCCAGTCCTCTTTTCCTGTCTGTCCTTTAAGTGCCAGTACTTCCCAGGATTCTAGTCTAGTCTTTCTCCCTTCTCCCTTCTTTATTCTCTGAGTGATATCATCCAATCCTCTACCCTTTAGTTTTCATACCACTGTGGACACAAAACCAAAAGTTTATATAAAATAATTATAGCTTTTCTGTCCTTTTGTTTTTCACAGAGCTGACACATTTAATAGGAAGGTTAATGATATTGCCAGAGGGCTATGTCATGGTCTGAAATAGGAGTGCTGCTGGGTGGGGGTAGAAGAGGGCATAGAGGGGATGAATGGAGATGGAAAAAATAAAATAAAAGAGAAATAGAAGAAGCAGAGACTCAGAGTCAACCAAGATTGATGGTGAACACCTATTATGGGTTTGGATTATGCACATCTGAATGTTATTTTATTTAATATTCCCAATAACCCTGTGAGGGGTCATGACCCCTCTTTTGCACATGGGGAGATAAAAGCTCTGGGAGATTAAATGACTTACCCAAGATCACACAGCTAGTAAGTAAATGAGAGAGATGGAATTTGAGTCTGGATTTGCATTCGTGTTGAGGTTTCCACTCACTAAATACTGGGTCCTATAACCAGTGAAGCTTTCATAAGCCTGTAGAAAATGATCCCCTTCATATGGAAAGACTAGAGGGAAGTTTGCCTTGTAGTGTTAGTAGAGAATTTTTCAAGTCACATTTCGAAGACATATGGTTATGTGTCTTGCTGTACAATCATCAGTGCTATGGAAAAGTCATTCCATGGCTAAGTATTTTTGTAAAATGCCAGACTTTCCCTCCAAACAAAACAAAATTACGTGAGCAGTGGAACCCGTCTCTCTCCAGATTGCCATAATAGCAGCTCTACAGGAAGTTGTTAGGGTTTTTTGGAGGCTGTTGTTATTTCAGCCACAAAACAATCATGCTTTAAGAATCTATACTTATGATTAGCAGCCTCGGAGAAGAGAAGTAGCCCTCGGTAGGTGAGCATGTACCGTAGAATATAACAATCAAGAAGTTAAGCCCTCATCCCAGGAGCATCTTTGGAAATGAGCAGGAACTGAGTGTTCAAGGGGCTCATGCCTTTTGTGTGCACAGGTGAGCATTTCAAAAGGAAGAGACAAATACAGAGCTCCTTCCACCCGGGCAGGATGGCAAGCACGCAGCCTGAGATCGGACTGGCAGACTGTGTTATTTGGCCTGTGTGATATTTTTTTTAGAATTTGACTTAGTTGTTGTAAGACTTGGTCTATTTCACATGGAAATCTGGATTTCTGGCTTCTCTCAAAGTGAGGCAATATTCTTCTGGAGCTGAGTATGGCTGTCCCCCTGAGAGAGGCCAGCTTTCTCCATTCTGTCTCCGACTCCAAATGTCAGTTCATTCTTTTATGTTACCTGCCTGGCTGCTACATAAATCTGAGTTTTATGTTTCTGCTCTAAAGGTTTTGAAATTCTGGGTTTCATAAATTTAAGAGTAAGTGCTTGGTGTCAAAATTAAGACTTCAGTTAGGCCTCACTCGTATGTCCAATGTCACCTTCCTTTTTTATCCCCTGAAAATTTTTATTGAATAACTTCTCTGTGCTGACACAGGAGTTATAAGCAGTGACTGGAACATTATCGTCAGCATCATAAGTATTTTTGAGGACTGTGAGATAGCTAATATG